CCCCCCCCCCCCCCCCCCCCCACTTATTCTAATTATTCAGCCCCTACACTAGGGCTTTGGATGTTGGGTTGCAGGAGATTTCGGGGGTGCAGGGGTCTGGTTCAGGGTTGCCGGGTCTGAACCTTGAAGGATTTAAGAGTAGAGCTTGGGGGTTTAGGGTTTAAGGGGGGTTGGGAGTGGGACTCTGAGATTTTCGTCGGGGCTGGATGAGGGTGGATTTGTACGTACTATGTGGCTATATGCATGCATAGCGACAGATCGACTTACAGCAATGTGGCCGGTGTTATCGGGAGCGCAGGCTTGGGTTTCTGAAAGGGTTTTGGGTTTAGGGTAAGTCGAGTCGGACAGGATCTTCGTTTCGAATCATTGCAATATATTGAGTCCTTTCTGAAACTGCGATCCAGTCTCCCCTGGTGAGCACCGAGTAACCCGAATTCCTGTAGGCCGTCGCGAAGGCTGCACTTCAATTAAGGTTTGGAGCAAAGGGGTTCCCAAAGCCTTAGATCTCAACCTTAATACTTAAAGTTACCCGAGCCCTGAAACCCTAAAGCCCAAACCCTAGACCTTAGAGCCCAAACTCTTCCCTTGAGCCTGAATTAATCTCAAAGGACCTCAAAGCCCGACGGCCTAAAGCTGCAAGCTGAATATAGAAGCCAAGGTAACTACACAGACTTGCGAGTATGATTTTGTAGCTTCCTTGTTGCATTCCTACTGTAATCTACCCCGAAACCCTAGTCTAGTCTTGAGGCCCCTATGTTAGAGCTTCAAAGCCGGGTCCCTCTCGAGGAGGATGCCCGACAGCAAGCGGAAGACGCCCAGCTACGCGAGCAGGAGGCAGTGGGGGGGACATTTAGGCAACATGCGTCGGCTTGTGGCGTTTTGGGGTTCAGGGTTCAGGGGTTCTGAGTTTTAAGGCTCTGAAGGCCAAAAGGCTTGGAGTGTTGTCAGGGGCTTGTAGTTGGGAATGCCCGCTCTACGAACATTTGGACAATGCTTTCAATGCAGTCTTAGTTCTGTCCCCTGTGTGTAAAAGTCGTGAAACATCATCGTAAGCAACAGCATAGTGATCGTCATCATCGTCATCACGACTGTCATATTGACATCACCACCGTCATTGACATAATCAGCTGTTCTCCATCACCATCAATATCATACTTATCATCAGCATGAGCATTATCATCGAAGTCTTGTCCATCCTCGTCATTATCATCGACATGATCATCGCCATCATTGCATCATACCGAAGCCATTGCGCTGTGCTGAAGCCACAGCTTCTCAGTCACAGGTTTTTCACGCAGGGTCACATGCACTCTAAGAGCGAGCTCTGGAAATTGTCTATGCTTCAGACTTTCCGCACTTTAAGCGAGATGCTTGCTCCCGACATGCTTCTACCGTAAGTGCACGAAGCGGCTCATTGTCGGTGCCTCCACCCAGCCTTCGCAATGGTGGAAGTGTCCGAGCTTGTTGCCGCATCGGGCATTTCTGTCCCTGCTCGTGCCAAGTTTGTGGGTCGTTTCATGGCATACACGACGTTCGGAGCAGTTACGTTTGGACTCGTGTGCGGGCAGATGAGTGTCATATTCTCAATCGGGCCGCTGATCCCCTTCATGTGGGGAGCGTGGGCGGGATTCACGCTTACATCAGTGGGATTCTGGCGTCACGAGCGTGCCATCATCAACGACTACATCGGGCGATACCCAGTCTTGATGGAGCAAGTACTTCGAATGCAGTTTCCATACGCAAACATGCCCAAACATCTTTCGGCAGAACAATGGCTTCGACAAGGCAGTCTTTCCGCCATCAGCTGGTGTATACTTGCTGCACAAAGTTGCAGCCACTTGATTCAGGAGCATGAGGATTCCAAACTGAAGAGTATTCTGGATGCAGACCTGGAATCCTAGCAACGATGCATGCTGAATACAGGGGCCTGAATACCAATACTAGTGCTTATTAGGGTTCCTATCAGAGTGTAAACAGAGTTGGTTACTGAGACCCCTATATTATGCCTCAAAGTGGGTAGAGCCCAGTATCGCTTCAGCAAGAAGGGCGAGAAACCGTGCTGCCGCTGAGCGTCTCAACAGGCTTCCTGCAAGGCTTTCGAGTTCCTATAATCCCAAAGAGGTCTTAGGTACTGTGATGGGAAATACTTTCCCAAATCTTAATATTTGTTCCTAATATAGAAACCCTACATTCTACCATATAGGTGCTTAGGACCCTTTGGGAATTATAAAGGCCCCTATACTGTTTCAGCAGCTTTGCGGGTTTAGGGTAAATATGGACATATGGGCTAACGGAAATTAAGCCTTGAGCAAGAAATATCCAGGAACCTAAACCTTAAACCCTAAACCCGAAACCTGAAACCCTAAGCCCTAACCTTAAACCCTAAACCCTAAACCTTAAACCCTAAACCCTAAACCCTAAGTCACTATACCCGACACTCCTACACCTATCAACCCCTGGCTTCAGGATCCTCTCGCCTAGGGACTGCACACGAAACTTCTGAAACACGCTCCTCATGCTATTTCGCATGCAAAAAAGCAGAGGGTGTGCGACGGTGTCAGATGTGTGTGGTGTTATTGTTGTTTGCATATTATTTTTGATAGTTCGTCGCTTGTGTTTTTTTTTGATAATTACTATTGTTCTTAGTTCTAAGTAGTATCACTTTAATCTTATTGTAATTATTGTTGTGTTTTGGGCTATTATTGCTGACAGTATTGCGACTGTCATTATTAGTATTTTGGTGTTGATGATGATGATGATGACGATGATGATTGCTATTATTATGACTAGCACTACTACTATTCACTCAGTTTCATTATTGCTGTTATTGCGACCAGTATTACTACTCGTGATAAGATATTTTTGCTCTTATTATTTTTTGTTATGGCTATTATTATTGTTGTTATGGCGTATTCGTATTTTTGTTATGAGGCTCAAGGCACGTCTGCAGCAGAAACTCGCTGAATTTCCTGACGTTTTCACCATGACCTACCCCGAAGCCGAAGTATTGACAGAGCCCCGACTCGCTCGAGACCCAGGGTTTTGCAGAGGCCACCGTTGGCAGAGTGGACATTAAACCAGCGGTTTCTAAGTGAACGTTCGTTGTTCATGCACTTACACGGGTTAAGTGGGCCAAAAGCCGTAGTACGCTTCGGGTGTGGGGTGTGAGTGACGACTAAACATCCCTAAATCCTAAACCCTAAACCCTAAACCCTAAACCCCTAAACCCTAAACCCTAAACCCGGGCTCCAACAACTATACTGAGAGAAAGAAACAACGGTGGATCTCGGAACGAAGGGCCCGCAAAGGCCCCTTCCGGAAAGGCGTCATCGGAAGAGTTCCAGTTGTTTCGGGATTCAGGTTTTCAGAATTTAGGGCTTGGGTGTAGCTTTTTGCAGCATTAAGCCTTAAACTTTCAACCATAAAACTCATAAACTCCTGGACCCCTAACGCCTAAACCCTGCACCCCCGTATCCGACACCCTAAACTCTAAAGCTTAAGCTCTAACCCTCTAGGTCTCGCGGCTTGGGATTTCGGCTGTCGGGGGTGAAGTTTAGGGCTATGTTGGGGTTTTGCGGTTTCGGGTTGATCTTAAACGGCTATGACCCATGCTTGACTTCAAAAAATGGAGTCTACCTATAGTCTCCATCGTAGTTCCTTTTTTGGGTTTAACCAGTTATATATTAAGGATTCTATTTGGTATCCCACAAAAGGAACTACAATGGCGACTACAGGTAAGATTTTCGGAACCCTACTTTGCGGAGGAAGCGCAGCAGCGTTGGCTTGCGCAACAAGAAGCAGAGGTTACCGAGCTGTCCAGGGTTCGAAGCCTTCTTGCTGATTTAGCTCGGGTCGATAGGGGGATAGGGCTTTGTTACAGAGGGACATGAGAGTCTTTACACGGTTCACATGTTTGCCGAGCATTGGGGTCTTAACGAATGAGATATTCGCAACATCGACAGTGTGCCCAGTTTCCTATCACGGTTGCAGCGTATTTAGACCCCTAATCCGAGGTTTCGGGCGTACTATCAGTGTATAGGTCCGGCAGGAGCTACGTGAGGTATGATGGGATCATTTCTTCAACATCTCTCTGCAACATCTCTTCCCCCTTGAGTCCCTTGCAGGTCTCTCTGCGCCTGACTAGGTGGCATTGGGGATAATTCTCCATCTCCACTAGAGTCCCCGAGGCTGCATATACCGACCCATAGGCCCCATGGTAGTTCCTTTTTGTGGCTTATGTTTAGGATCCTATCAGGGAATCCCAAAGAGGAACTACTATGGGGCCTATGGGTAGTATATACTTAGGCCTCAAAGTATCTACATGGGACCCACCTTGAGGTCTAACTATATACTAAACCCTAAGGGTCCATGTGCTCATATAGCATATACATGGGCCCTAAAGTACCTATATAGGGACTACATGAAGGCCAATGTCTATACTTTTTGGGGTACATGGACCCTTGGGGAAATAGCTACATGGAGTCTTAGGGAGTCTTGCAGGGAGACCGGTACCCGCTCATTCACATACTTATGAGGCCCGGTAGTCACAACACAGCCAAAGCACCTCCGTGCTAGAGAAGTTTAGGGTTTAGGGCTTAGGTTTAGGGTTTAGGGTTTAGGGTTTAGGGTTTAGGGTTTAGGGGTTTAGGGTTTGTATCTCTGAACCCCAGAAGCCCCAACCCTCAAACAGTCGTACTGGCCATGGCCAAACCCCATCCCCCCGAAGCCCAAAAGCCTAAGCCGCCAGACCCCTTCTGCAAAACGCTATTAACCCCGTAGAGCCCTTATCCACATACCCTACGCTAGAGGCCGTAATCATAGACCTATCCTATTTTGGGGGTTCCTTATTATACTTATAGTATAATAGGCCCCAAACCCTATTCCAATTGTTAAGGCCCCTACATTAAAATCCCTGACCGCCGAACCCCTGAGCCCACACCCAGAAAGCCGTGCCAGGCTGCACAGCATCGCCAGTTGGCCGAAGAACGGCAGGAGAAGCGCTTTGTTCTTATAGTAAACCCCCAAAAAAAAGTTGGAAACGGGATTGAAGACAAGTAGTGGTAGTGCTGGGGTTCCCTATAATATTGGTCTTGAGGATTGAGGCTATCGGGTTTCCAACTTTTGGGCTTCTACTGTAATGGTTTGTAAAGGGTTACTACAAGGGCTGCACAAGGGGTTTGGGCAGAGGGGTTCGGACCCGGCCGATTCGGGGTCTAGGCTTCACTGCTTTAGGGTTTAGGGCTGTAGGGTGTGGTGCAGCTTTACTTCAGGGTTTCTGTCGGGTTTCGGGTTTACTTAGGGCTTCAAGTGCAATGCTGCCCTGGGCTAAAACCTTTTGTCTCCACTTTCAGTTGGATCGCCAGCTTCCCTGAACCCAAAAAACTGAAGCCTCAACCCTAAAACTTCAGCCCGAAATGTTCTAAACCTTAGACCCCTAAAACCTAAATCCTAAACCCTAAACCCCTAAACCCTAAACTTAAGCCCTAAGGCCCGTAAGCCCTAAGAGCCCTATATACACCCCGGGTTGAAACGACCATGCCCTCCGGTTTTGTATAGGACTGCAGAGTCATAGGGTTTAGGGGTTGAGGGTTTAGGGCTTAGAGTTGAGGGGTTGAGGGTTTAGGGTTTAGGGGTTGAGGGTTTAGGGTTTGGGGGCTTAGGGTTTAAGGGTAGGGTTTAGGGTTTAGGGGTTGAGGGTTGAGGGTTTGGGATTTAGGGTTCAGAGGTTGAGGGTTTAGGGCTTAGGGTTTTGGCGGCTTAGGATTGAGGGGTTGAGGGTTTAGGGTTACTAGGGTTTAGGGGTTGAGGGTTTAGGGCTTCGGGTTTAGGGGTTGAGGGTTTCGGGCTTGCGGTCTGGGGATTGAGGGTCTCAGGGTTTAAACGTGTTGTATGGTTTCGGGCTTATGGTATTTCCTCGTAGTTGATCGCTGTATGTTAACCACCCTCGTGGGACTACTACCTCAAGCTGTGGGGCTGTTGAAGTGGACAACCAGGCAATCTTAGACCCTCAATGCCATGTTCGCCTAAGTTCACCCTGTACCCCATCAGACCTCCACCCTGTACCACAGGCTTCTAGTGGTTTCTATCCGCTTTTTTTGGTAAGCGTCTTATATGGGCTTGGTCTCAGGGCTCCAATATATAGACACCAGAACAATTACTACACCCTATTCTGATGATTCACGCCCCTACACTAAGCCCGCATAGTACCCCTGATAGACCCTATAAATACAAGCAATCCAGCAAGAAATCCTGGCCTACAAAAAGCTGCAAAGCGTTTTCGAACGCCTATATAATCCTCATAGGATGTTTTCTTCAACGGTCTACATGCTGTGTTCATGCTCCGGGTAGCCTCGCAGCAGTAGAAATCAACAGCCCTAAGCCCTGAACCCCTCAACCCTAAACCCCCAACACTTGCAGCCGACCTAAGGCTCCAAAAAACCCAATGTCTCAGCATTGGGTTTAGTATAGCTGCAGCCCTTATTCTTCAACTTAGCACCCTAAACCCTAAACCCTAAACCCTAAACCCGAAACCCAAAACCCCCAAACCGCGGGCCCCGAAGCCATGACGTACCAGCCCCAGAGTAGTCGCAAGCAAGAAGCCCTTTGATCTCCACCACCCCAGCTCAAACCCTAATGACTAAAAGCCGCTAATATAGGCGCATAGGGTTTGGGGTATATTTTACTGTAACCATAATAAGCCACCACCCAAAAAAAACCTATTCTAATTATTAAGGCCTCTACAGTAAATCCTAATGGCTAAAAGCTGCTAATTGCAAATCCATGGGGGGCTTCCGATGGCTCCTGCTGTCTCCCTGGGCCTTACATCGGGCGACGGTGGAAGGCTTCCTCTTTCAGCACGGTTTAGGGTTTGTGGTTTGCTATTGCATCCCATGCAGTGTCTATAAACCCTAAACCCTAAACCACAACTACTAGTATAATCACCCGACGACCTAGACCCTGGAGTGTAGATTGTTTAGCTGTTCAGGCTGAAGGTAGCGGTAGCTTCCTTAATAGAGCTACACTACTATAGTAACCTAAAGTATACTCCGAAGCCCTCTTCTGATCTCACCATGGTAGAAACCCTAGGAAAGGGGTTCTTCAGGAGATTGAAAGTGATCGAGTCTTTTGTAGCCCGGTTTGGGTACTCAGAGGTTCATGGGCAGTTAAAGTCCTAATTAAAGTACTTGAGGTTCCAGGGTGCAGTGTTCCAGTGATGTCAGAAAATAGAATCAACCTGAATCCCGAAGCAACAGGAACTTCACAAAGCCGTCCTGGTTCCTCAGCTGTAATAAGCCGTATACCTCAAACCCCTTATCCCAACCATAGACATCTCGAGTCTCAAGACCTAAAGCAAAAGCCGGAAATACTGTAAAGGAACGCACCTTTTGAATTCTGGGTTAGCTGGGAGACTAAACATGATTCGTAGCCTGCAGCATGGTCGCCATGCTATGACGGCAATTACGTCTTAAACCGTCAACCCTAAACCCTAGTCATTACTCACGATGATCGGCAAATACAGTGCTATACTTTAATGACTATAATGCACCCTCCAACCCTGCTCTAATTATTAAGGCCTCTATAATAAATCCTTATGAGACGTAGCCGTTATAGAACCTTTAGAGGGACCCATAAAAGGAACTCCTATGCCAATGAACTCAGGCCCTTACTTATAGTAAACCCTAACTCGCGAACTCTTCCCCGAGAGGTCGAGACGTGCGACGTCCCCTTGCGTACCCCCGATTCGAGGCCGGCGATGCTACGCCCTGGGAAAATGGACGTATCAGGGGTTTAGGGTTACAAAGGGCATGAGGGATATAGGGTTTAGGGATGTTAGGGTTTATGCCATTTCTGCCTTGTGGGTTGTTTAAGGAGGCGTGTTCATAAAAAAACCTGGTGGTATTCTGTATGTCTACAGTATCTATCTACCTACATATACATATATACACACCATATATATATATATATGTATATACACACCGTGAATATATATATATATATACCATACATATATACACGTACACACCATACATATATATGTATATATAAAAACCATATATACATATATAGGTATGGTGTATACGTGTATATATGTATGGTATATATATATATATATGTATACCATATATACATATACCACATATATATATGCACACATACCATGTGTCTATATATATATATACA